CCCCCCCCCCCGCACCTCCCCGGGCAGTGGGGCTGCCCTCCTGGCACTGTAACAAAATGTTTAGCCCGTGGCTGCGCAGCCCCCCAGCAGGGCGCCCAGGCGCAGAGCTCGGGGGCTTGGGTGGGCCGGAGCTGTGATGTGCCCCTGCCCAGCCTGCTGCTCCCAGCTCCCGGCTGGCTGAGGCAGGGCTGGGAGAGGCCGTGACGCACCCAGGGCGCGGAGCGGTCATCCGAGGGCAGAGGCAGATGGGTACCAATCATGCGGCACGAACAAACCTCTCCTCCCTCCTGGTTCAGCTGCTCAGCGCCACGCGGCCGCAGGCTACACGCGAAGCAGGGACGAGACCTCGCCTGCCGCAGCCAGCAGGGTGACACATGGGGGGACCAGCTGGCCCCTCTGCAAGCGCAGCTCCCTATCCCTGCCCTCCCCTCTCCCAGGCCCACTGTCCCGCCTTGGTCCCTGCCCATGGGCATCTCCTGACGTGGATGCTGAGCCTCAGAGCACCCTCCCTGTCACCCAAGGAGATGGGCCAACCAGCAGGTCTCCTGAGCATCCTTCCTCCATCTCTTATGCTGTTACCTGTGTGCCCTCCCCCGAACTCTCCCCACACAGCATTTCGGGGCACACAGTGCAGCCCCAGAGCCCTCTGGCAGGTGGGTACCGGCCAGGCTCCCGGGGGTGCCCACCGAGGAGGCAAGCCACCTTCTGAACTGCCGCAAGGAAACCACACAACCAGATTCACGTAGCAAGTGTCTCTTCAGCGGGTTTGCCCCTATATTTAGGCGCATCTACTGAATATATACATGCCTTAGCAATAGTATACTGGAAACTGTGTCACGCGTGACTTGATGGTGCTGAACTAATGCGTACAAAAGTATGGAGGGGTCCATGTGCCCTCAAAGTACAAAGTTCCTCCTGTCCAGCTGCAGGAGGGTCCGGTTTGGGGGCATGACGGGTAACCTGCCAGGGCTCCCGGGGGGCACACAGCTTTGGCACCTGCCCAGTTTGCTCACGGAGCTGCCGGAACCAGCAGGACGGAGCGGTGCCAGACTGCTGCGGGATGCTCAGGGTGGCAGAGTCCAGCCCAGGCGCTTCAGCGGAGCTGTGATCCCTGGGCTGAGAGCCAGGGAGAGCCGGGGTGCCCGCTGCTCCACGCCCATGGGCTGTTGCAGGCTTGGGCATCTGGCAGCAGATGTCAAAAGCTCTGTTATGTGCCTTCCTCTCATGGCAGGTGAAGATGTAGGTTAACCCTGGGGGAGGAGGACCTGGAGATTCCCCCATGGAGGTGAAAGGTGCTAACATCCCACCGCCGGCTGCTGCGCAGCACCTGCGGGGCATCCAAAATGCATTTCTTGGGCAGTTGAGCAGTTCTGGAGTAGCTGTGGTTGTCAAGAGGAGGTCCCCTCCGCACCTCTCATGCGGGCTGGCATTGCCTCCTCCTCCCCGGCCGACACAGAGGAGCTGCGGCTCAGCACACCGCCCGCTCCAGCAGCTGGGTGAGGAGCTGGGAGTGCTGTCTGTCTTCTCCTTGTGAACTGGGGTCTGGCCGGCAGGGATGGGGCTTCCTGCCCCTCCACGGGGCGTGTCCAAAGCCCAAAATGTCTGGAGAGTTTTTGGTTTGTGCCCTGTAATTGCACAGCCCGCTGTGAGCTAGTGGCAACTGGCTCCTCCTCAAGCAAGAGAGTGGGTGCCGGATGGTCCCTGCTCCAGCAGGCACGTACCCGCATGCATCCCTTCCCCAGGTGCCTGCCCCACGCACCGGCCCAGAGCTTCCTCACAGAGAAAGTCCAGCTGACGTTCCTCCCCTCCAACCTGGGGAGGGAAGCCGCTCTGTCCCGGTTGTCATCACCAAGAGCACGCTGCGTCAATAAATAACCCTCGCCTCAGCCCGCATTGCTCCCGGGCTCGGGTCAGCAAGCGAGCGGCAGGTCCGAGTGGTCCCACGCCGTGGCTCTCCTTCCTGCCCGTGGGGTTTTCCTCTGAGGCTTCACTGTACAATGAGAACAAGACCAGCTGCCCGGGTTTTATTTCTAGGTCCGAGTGAAGTGGCTTCAGTTTGTATATGGGACTCCTCTGGGGATGGGGAGGGATGAGGACCGGGCTGGGCGGGAGCAAAGGGTCATTCTTCACTGGCTGACTCCTGGAGAAGGCGATGGATGTCCTGGAAGGAGGGACGATCTTTAGTGTCCCGTCTCCAGCAGCTCAGCATTAGCTTATAGACTGAGTCAGGGCAAAGTGCAGGCTGGGGAAGGTAGGTCTTCAAAACAAAAGGCAAAGACAACAAAGGGAGAGAGTTACTGCCACAGAAACCAAAAAGCAAACAACTGCTCCTGAGGAGCCCCGTTGCTCCACGCATGGGGGCAGGGGGCTGCGCTGCTGTGTGTTCATAAGGGGACCCCCAGACAGCACGGTGGGGGCGCTGGGGACACCCACTCACATCTCCCAGCCTGGCTAAATGCCAGAGGTGTTAGCGGGAAAGTAGTGCCTTTGACTGCATAAAGTGCAGGGTTTGCCGGGTCGGGCCCTTCACCAGGACTTCTTCCCAGAGTCCTGCCAGGTAACCCCCCCATAGCCAAGCTCCCTATCTGGTCACCTTAAAGCCTTTTTCCTGGTCCCCTGGTGTCCCAGGCACACTGCTGCCTGTCCCATCCCATCCCATCCCATCCCATCCCATCCCTACCTGCCGACCCTGGTCCCGGAAAAATTCGCCGGTGTTTTCAATGACCTGCTCGTCAGACAGCTGGGAGTAGGGCTGCTCCCGGCAGAGCGTGAAGGTCTCCCACAGTGTCACACCAAATGCCCACACATCACTGGCCGTCGTGAACTTGCCCTGGCCGGAGGGAACAGAGCAGGGTCAGGCATGGGCATTACCTCATCCAGCTCCATAAGCCCCAAGTTCCTGGGGTTGAAAACCTCTTTCTGGATGCTTCAGCTTCCAGATCTGGGCCCAGAGGGGGCTCGGTCCTGCAGACCTGCTCTCTGCCTGGGTGAGCTCCAGGTCCAGCTTGCAGTGACTGCTCTGAGAGCTGGGGCTTGCTAAGGACCCAGTTCCCTGCAAAGGTAAAAAGTAACCCTGCTCCCTCTTAAAGGTCTGACCATGGCCAGGAGAAAATGTCAAGCTCAAAGGCTGGGTACCGGGACACCAAAGATTGCTGTAGTCCCCCCATCCTGCCTCGAAAAGCTGCTACCACTCCTGCTTTTTGCATGCTTCACCCCAAAGCTGAACTCCAGCGGTGTTCAGACTTCCCTGTCCCTTCTGCACCCCCCAGCCCGAGGAAAAGAGGCTGTGAGCTGCCCCGGGGCCGTGACAGTGTCCATCAGAGCATCCCAGCCCCCGTGTACCAGCAGGATGCTCTCCCAGGACATCCAGCGGATGGGGAGCACCGCCCGCCCCTGGATGCGGTAGTAGTCCCCACTGTAGAGATTCCTGCTCATGCCGAAGTCGGCTATCTTGATGGTGTACTGCTTCCCCACCAGGCAGTTGCGCGTGGCCAGGTCTCGGTGCACGAAGTTGAGGGAGGAGAGGTATTTCATGCCAGAGGCGATCTGGGTGGCCATGAACCGCAGGTCGCTGTAGCTGCCGGGGGAGGACAAGGGAGGACTGA